AACAAAATGAGTAACCATTGAAATGTCTGTTGAGAGGTATCGGTTCCGGCAAAGAATATGTCAAATATAGTCATCGCAAGGTTCTCGTCCTTTAGATAAGGAGCCGACTCTTTACCCTCTCTGAGGGACTCATTCTTAGCGGTTATGAGTGCATCACAAAAGTCCCTTTCAATTGATTCCGAGTAGTCTTTATAATGTGAACTAAACTTAGTCCTCATCATATCGACGGCTTCCCTAAATAATAGTCTCTGTTTTTTGACTAATTTGTGGTCTAATAGTCTCAATATGGGTGAGAACTCCCACAACAGAAAATGATTTCCCGCTTCTTTATTAAAGTCTTTGATTATATACTTTATTTGTTTAAACTCCTTATCCTCCATATCATAGCTATAGATGCAATCAAATTGATAATTAAATATTTTTCAATCAAATCAATTATAAGTTACAATGATTAAAGCAAACCTTTGTCCAAAAGTACTCGTGGCTAATATATTGAGAAACATTAAGTATATGTATTGAATGGGCGAGAAAGGTGTGCCCACACCCTCCTTGTCTAATATGGTTTTTATGGTTCTGTCCACACAATCGGTGGCCACGTCTATGAGCCTATCGTTTGTCGAGTATTTTCTATAAATAAATTTTGTAAATCAGGTATAAGTTATAAAATATATATATTATTATAGATAAATATTATAGACTCTATGAGATGAGACACATACTGAATAGCAGAGTGTGCGACCCGTCTCAGTGCTTCCCATTTATGTCCATAATCGGTCATTATGATGTCACTATATTTGTCATTTGATAATTGAGATCCTATTTGACAAACAAATTTTATGTTCAGTATACTTAGTAAATATTTGTATAACAATTGCTATTATGTACCGAAATAGGAGACAGGTCTACCGGCGATGTCATTCTTTCTGAAGGCTTCTCGAGCTAAGTCTATGTCCGTAACGATGAGTTGAGGGGTATTCCCGAACCAGATGGTGAATACCGGGCCGTACTGTTTGGCCACATTGCGGAACACGTCGTCCCAATGGAGTGCAGATTTGAACACTGTTTGCATTATTTATTAAAATGACATTTCGTTTTCAAAGAGACAACATTTTGCTTGTGTTTACTTACACAATACATTTCCTAGGTATGGCAATGGATGTGGTCCGGGAGGTAATGTGGATCTCGCGTGATAAAACCTAGCAATTCTATACACTATATAACCAATTGTCAGGGTTATTAATGATGTCCGAATATCGGTCACAAATGGTGACATTAGTTGTGTCAATAATGACATTCTAATTACAATAGTTATAATAACTAATTTCAAATAAGTTGCATTGCAAACTTTCTAAATAAAATCAAACAAACCACTTTTGCTATATATACATCCAAACACAAA